GCCCACACACACGTGTGCGTTTTGCATCGTTCGCATTCCGCCTCTCACCATACAAGCCCGTTGGACGCCATTGTCCCAGTCCCTGCACGGGCAGCCCGGGCCATGCATCGCAACTCTGCAGCTGCTGACCGGGATACTGACGGCACCTCTCAACAATGTCCAATTCCAATGCCCCATGTCTCGGTTTATGACAACGCCCCAAAACCACTCAATGAAATCCATCAAATGGACATGGCCAAGTCAACGGAGGACTCACGGGCAACCTACAAATGGCGACCATCGCCCTCCCACGGGGCGGTGCGAGGGCGGATTTACACCTGTGAGCGATCAACCCTTTCACGCCATCCGTCAGTGCCGTCATCATCCTATTGCACCAATTGTTCTCATAGACAGCCGTCAATCACACACCCGCCACCATGCGCCTGCCCGCCGTCCTCTCCGTGCTTCTTTTCCTCCTCCCGACCCTTGCCCTCGCGGCCCCTGCGCCCTCCCCGCAAGTCATCATCGAGCTCGACGGTGCACACGACATTGACGACCTCGTCATCCGCGACCTGCTCGATGTGTACATTCGCAACGGTCTGACCAATGCCGCCGACCGTTTGCAACGTGTGCGTATCGGAACCACGTTCCGGGCCGTTACCCTGCCCGACCCGGGCGTCAAGGGCAGGGAGGAAGTCAAAACGGTCATGAAGGACAGGGTCAGGCGGGTCGAGGTCGAGAGGGAGTGGCGCTTGTTTGGCGTGCAGGAAGGAGCCGTGAGCGGATTGGGTATGTTGGCAGCTCTCTCACTTGTGTCGTGTTACTCCAGACCTCGTTTTCCGTGGTGTTTGGTGCTGACCGCCAGGCTTTTTGAATTCGATCAGACCGGTTGGACGCCAGGCAAGGCCTCGATGGCAAGTTTACATTCCCCGACGTCGCTGGCCAAGGTGTCGACGTTTTCGTCATTGGTACGTCAGAAGTACGTTTAACCTTGCCGTATCGATCGATTCTGACGCCCGATTCCCACTACTGCGCAAACACAGACTCTGGATGCGACGCCAACCACCCCGACTTTTCCAACCGCGCCAGCGTCCTCGTTGACCTGACGGGCGAAGGCGCAAACGACCTCAACGGCCACGGCACGCACGTTGCGTCTACTGCCGCAGGTGCAACCTATGGCGTTGCCAAGAAGGCCAACATTTTGTGCATCAAGGTGTTTGATCAATCCGGGCGCGGGTCGTCCGTTAATGTGTTGCGTGCGCTTGAGGAGGTGAGCAAGCAAGTGGCCGAGCGGAAGCGGCCGGCTGTCGTCAACATGAGCCTGTACGTGATACTCTTGTTATCGAGTAGTCAATGGCCGTGCTGACGTCGCTCTCTCTTGTCCTGCATATGTAGGGGAGGTCCTAGGGCACCTGGGGATGGTGAGACGTCGACGGAACGCGCAGTCAAGGCCCTAACCGACTTGGGGGTTGCCGTTGTGGTTGCTGCGGGTAACGAGGTTTGTGCATAGATGTTTTCTTCTTGAAATATGGCGCCTTCGGTTGCTCACAACACACGCCCATCCCTGCGTTCAGAGCCAAGACGCCTGCCAAGTTTCGCCTGCTTTCATTCCTGAGGTCATCACGGTTGCCGCCAGTACGTCTTTCTTCCACTTGAGAAATTACCCGTTTGGAGCGTTTGCTGACGCGTTGCCCTGATATGTCTACATAGTCGACCCGACCTCCGATACAATTGCATCCTTCTCCAACTTTGGCTCTTGCGTTGACGTGATGGCCAGCGGCGTCAACATTGAAGCAGCCGCCGCAAACTCGCGCGGCACTCGCAAGCTCAGCGGCACCAGCATGTCAAGGTAAGTGATTCTCTCTCGTGTCCATGCCACAATGTGATCTCACCTCGTCTGTATGTACACAGCCCGCACGTTGCCGGCGTCATGGCCGTGTTCATGTCCCAGGGTATGAACCACGTGGCCGCCGAGCGCCAGTTGATTGCCACGGCCACGCAGGACGCGGTCAAGGGAGAGTTGCGTGGGTCGCCCAATCGGTTGGCCTTCATTGGTGGCGCTAGTGGGACAGCCAAGTTGGGCGAGCCGGTTCGCATGGCGTGATTATGGCCGCGGTAGCGGCAGGTTCGATTCATGGTGTGGAACCAAATTGAGGTGAATGTGTATTTCAGGTCGATTATTTGCATAGTAAATGTGCCTTGTCCTGTCCTGTTTGAGACCGCTCCTTTTTGGCTGGCCAAAGTTGTAGCCCACTGCGGGTTCATCGCACATACACGGGAAGCAAAAAAAAGGGCAAACTTGGGCAGTTGTTTTAAAAGCTAATACCATCTTACGAAACTCTTCCGGACGCCGGCAAATCGAGTCACAGCGTCCCTTGAAACATTCACTGTTGCGGCTGCACTCCGCCCCAAAAACTGACCGCAAGCGCGGCTGAAGCAGTGAGGGAAGAATTTATGTAGAAACATGCGTTAAGTATGCGTCAGCGGCAACATCATTCGCCCGGCGCCGAGCCATGCGCTTTCAGGACGGTGTCGCTTCGTCTTGAGGAGATCTGAATGTGTACATATGATATGTTTGTTGAGGATCGGCGATGTCTCACTTGCACATAATGGACGAGATCCGGACGAAGCTTCCCCCACCGTGCGCCTGCATGAGTGCTTGATGTCCATTGAACCACTTCTCTCTTCAGAGTATCTGCCGAATTGTTCGCGATGATGCCTTCATCATTTCATGTCAACGCCGGCAAAGGCAGCAACAACGGGCAAGACGATCACCTCATTTCGGGCCAGTTTTGCGATGAAACTTGGCGCCGCCGATCCAAGCATCGGAAACCCTCGGGTCCCGTTGATCACGTGCAGAGTAACAAATGCAGCTGGCCCTCTGTCGGAACAAAGCGGAAGCGGGCCTCAACTTTTCAAGCGTGAAGGCAAGCAAACGCGTCCCCGACCAAGAGTGCCCGCAAGTGCGTCGCAACCACCGCAAACCTAAATGCCACCTGAGCCCATGGTATAAAGAGGATCCCTTGCCCACGCTCTCTGGTCCTCGATGATCATTGTAAAGCCTCAAAAGCATATGCCCTGAACCACACGCACCGAATCCCATCAACTTTATTCCCAATAATGTCTGCGTAAGTTGCATGCTGCTCGCCATGTCTCGCCATGTCATGAAGAATGCAGACGGGCCGGCGCTCGTCCGCCCACGCGCCCGTCCGCCCAGCTACCTGCCCCGCACCGTCATGGCAAGTTACTGACGACTTGCGCGATTGCCTTCCGCACCCCTTCATATGCACCACAGAGTGATTCGCACCGCCTTCGACCTCGTCCTCGTATCCACCGTATTCGCCGGTATCCGCCGCAGTTCCGGATTCAGTATGCTGGGTCATTATTTTGCCTTTTAATCCACGCCATGACCCGCTTCACACCCCTCCCGGACCTCATTGTGCTTTCAGCGTCGCGCGCAGCTGCTCTTGCTGATCGGCCAGTCGAGTGGCGGTGGCGTTTGCAATTCGCGTTTCCCCCAACCGCAACTGGATGCACGGCCTCGGCAAGCAAAAGATTCGCAATGAGCACAGTTGCCGACCGAATCTAGCACTCTCCATTCGGCCCACCCCTCTATTCGCCGTCCGCGCCACTTTCAAGACTGTACGAAACGGAAACATGTGCTGACTGACACGTTCCCCTCATAGACCTTGCCACCGACAAGATTGACAATGAAACCGTCCGATTCGTTGCCGACAAGTACCTCGAAACGGGCGAGTGGGTCATGGATCGTTCTGTCGAAGGCATGGCCCGCTACCCAACCGTGTTTAGTCGAAAGAATTAAGTCGATTGGTTACCGTTCCCGCCTCGCCATTCCCGTTCTTGTGCCTATTTCTCTCATGTGACCCGTTCTTTCACCCCCCTTGGTCACTTTCTCATCTCCGTTCACTTTTCATTTTTTTTCTTCGCTTCAACGGGAATCTCGGCCTTGCGTTGGCATTTGAGTTGTTTTGTGCTTGTTGTTTCGATTTGCCGCTTTTCTTGCATTCCCCCACCAGTTGTGTCGATTGAGCCCACGCCCATGTTTCTCGTGCATTGGGCGAGTCGATTTCTTGTTGGCGTTCTGTCGATTTTCTCTCTATTTTACTCTCTTGGCGCGTGTACATACATTACTATTTACATATCCCCATGACACAAGATGGACTGGGGCTCATTCCCTCTTTTTGCCTTTGCACTTGCGATCAAGACGAACAAGAGGCTATCCGGGTCCGGCCGGTGCAGTAAAGAATGCCTGCTTGTTCCCGCGTGTGTGGGTTGGGTGAGTTTGTGTATGTGGGCGCCTGCTTTGCTAGATATGACAATATTACACAAGCATAAAACAAGACCAAACGAAGGGTTCGGGTGCAATCCTTGACCCCCACCCCTATCTTTGCAGAAACAACGTCAGGCGTAAGCCAGATCGGGGACTGGGCCCCTGCGAAGGAATGCGGCGTTCGTATTGTCATGGACACACAGGACCAAACGGCACACGTTGACGCTCGCCTGTCGTAACGACCCGTGTCGTGATGGCCGCGCAAGCGCAGACCACAGCCGACTGCAACCGCAGAACTCACGTGCCAGCTTGACAGGCCGAAGCCGCGAGTTGTTGCAGAGCGGCGAACCCATATCCTGTCGGTTTTTGGCGATAGATTGCAGCCGCTTGAATCATTCAACGAGGCCTCAGGGACAGCACAACTGCACATCCGCGCGTAAGCGCCAAGAAGGCCAGATTTAATAAAGCAAACTGAGCTTGGTCATACCAATATTGTTTCTCCACTGCCCTCTGATCCGCGCGGCAGGGTGAAGAGCAAGTTAACGCCTCGACCAACATTGCCATCGCACTGGCAGCTGCACCATCACCTCTCGCATGAGTGTGGTTTACAGATAGCTCAGCAGCTGAGCTTTTTGGGACAGGCCCTTTCAAGGGCGAGAGCCTGCGGGCGAACTGACCCCGAAAATCTTGAAAAAATGTGAGTGAACTGAAATCGAACCAATCAACACAAGCCCGGCTGGCGCAATGGTTAGCGCGTCAGACTTCTAAGTGCTTCATCCGGCCTCTGGAATCTGACGGTTGCGGGTTCGAGTCCCGCGTCGGGTGTTCTTTTTGTTTTGTGTAAGGGAACGTTCTTTGTGCCAACGACATTTACGCGAAGTCTTCATGATCCGACGTTTGTCTGCATTGAACACACATTCCTCTGTACGGATCGGAAGTTTCACCAGTCCGCCCTTACGACTCGGGTGAGTGCACTTGACGGACGTGTTCGCCCAATGCGAGACTCGGATTTTTCTTTGCTTACGACCCCCTCATCACCAGTGCTACTCGGCAACACTGAACCGTCGCCCGCTTGCTCGAGCGTGGCATGTCAACGCCGACGACAAAAACGCCAACAAGCTCGTCTGCTTCTTTGCCGACTGCACGCCTGGGCCTTTGGCGACCGCGGCCGACACCTTATTGTTAGATGTGACCTTGCGGACGGTCTTGACTGGCGGCGGGGTCCGACGCGCGCGTTTGGCGGGCGTGCCTGTTACCTCGCCATCCCAGGGAAGAGGGAGTCGACGCGCGATGACCGCGCTTGCTTCGCCTTGTGCCACTGCGGCAGCGGGCGGCGGCACCGCGTCATCCGCTGCATCAGAGGCGACAGTGGTACATGCGCAGGTGGAGCCGGTGGTCAACGAGGATGCGGTGTTGGTCGAGGCGGGGCGTGCAGACAAGTCGTCCTTGGCCTTGGTGGTGGCGGAGGGTGAGGCATAAGCTTCGGCACGACTTTCGATCCGGCGGCAGTGGCAGTGCGCAAGGCATTCTCGGCCTCGCGGTGGGTAATGGACTTGAGGAGCTGGGTGACGGCATGGACCTGCATCTTGACTGAGCACACTTTGCGTTCGAACTTGATCTTCTTGACGTGCACATCCTCAACATGTTGCTGGGCGACGTGAGGGTAGTATAAACACGTCATGGTCGTGGCAACAAAGGACAGGGCAGTGGTATACACCCAGCCGAGGTGGGCGACGCGAATGTGGGGTCCCATGTCATGCGAGTTGAATTGCGCTTGCAGGGCTTGGTCTTGTGGTCCTCGCGAATGTCCTTCCCAACGTCCTTGATCGTTTCGTTACAGCCAGCATAGGTGCAAGGGTGGGGCTTCGAGTGGACGAGGGCATGCTTGTACTCGTTGGAGACATTCTTTTTGCAAATGTCGCAGTTGTCACACAGCGGCTCTGGGGGGAGGGGTGCATTTGAACGTAAGTATTTTGACCCGTCCAAACCAACGGTGCTAGGCCTCGGTTTGGACAGCTTGGGGCGAGCTCAGATGGACGGTGGTTTGGACACAGTTTGGCCCACTTTGACTGTGGCCAAACCGGCGCGCCATATTGTCGATTTTGACTCATCCAAAGGTCGGCCATAATGCCAGTTTGGACCAATCCAAGAACTGCCCAAACACTGTGTCCTTTGACTCAGTTTGGACCCACTTGGTTTCGGCAATTGGGTACCGTTCAGACGCTGTTCGCACCCTCTCACTGCCAGATCTTACACTGAATCCTCACGTCCAATAAATACGTAGGTGCTCCTGGATCGAACCACAGAAAAAAGAAAAGCAACGCAATTCCCTTGCATAAACATACACTAGCCCTACCCGCCCGCTTTGCCGGGCCACGCTGCTGAACGATTCAAAGTCCTTGGAAAAACGAAAAACTTAAAACACTACGGACTTCACAGAACCTCACTCCAAACAACAATTCTGACCTTGTTCTGTTGCTCATCATATTGTATCGCGTGTCGAGATTTAAAACCTTGATTCCAGCGGCTGATGTTGAGCGAGAGAGCGCCACATACATTTGACCATGGGAAAAGACTTGATCCGACAGGTAAATACCGACTCGGACAGTGGACAGGGTCTGACCTTGCGACTTGTTGACAGTCATGGCGAATGCTGGAGCAACTGGAAACTGCCGCCTGCGCATCTTGAAAGGCATTTCGCCATCATTGTCGCCAATAAAATTGAGCCGAGGAATGAGTACTTCGTCCTGCTGGAGGTCGCCAGTTGGCATCAACGCCTTTGCAGCCAAAACATGTGGGGTGCAACGACTCACAATCAAAAGTGATCCGCTGACCAATCCGTGTTGTGGGTTGAGGCGTCCCAGATTCACCGGGCATCTTTTCATGCATCAAGTTGTAGAGCGCAACCTTGTGTTGAGAGGCGCCAAGATGCATCGTCCTCGCGAGTGTAGAAGATGTCGCTCCATGTAAAACACCGAGCGAACCTGCCCGCACACAGGCCCAGAGCTCCCGACCGGAACAGTCAACTCTCGTAAACCACTCGTTTTGCGGCGGGATCACAAAGGCTCCAGGATTTGCGACGGCACCGGGATTCCACATGGGTCATGGGAGTCCACATGGCAATTAGCTGAAAATTTAGGAAAGAAGCTGTTACGAAGGAGAGAGTGAGAGCCGAGCCCAGTAGTACAGTCGTACAGCACAACTCGGCGATGAAAAACAACACGTCGTGATCGCTCACAGTGTTGCAGGGCCGTCCGCCGACGGAGGAGAGCTCGTCCTCACAAACTGCGACACTTCAGTGGTGAGCCAATCACAGAACCCCGACACCCACTGATAGATTCAGTAGTGAGCCAATCACTGTGCACCCACACCCACCGGATGGAGGAAATGCCTCGCGCAATTAGACAGTTTGGATTGGATTGGATTGGATGGATTGGATAATGAAAAATACACGCATCCCAACAAAAAATCAACACAAAGCAATCAACTCTAACTCTCAGTTCTCAGCCTCCTCTTCCACCGGGAAATACACCTCGGCAAACTCTCCCTCCCACTCCAACACTGCATCGATCGCGTCCTCGAGCTCCATGTTCCTGGCCGTGTGATGGAAAAGAAGGAAAGACGGCGGCAGCAACGCCATGGCTTCTTCCTTGGCCTGTTTCGCGTGGCCTCGATTCGACCGCTTGGCGTGCAGGTGGCTGGTTTCGGGCGCTTGCAGGAAGCAGGAAGCGGTCAGGCAGGCGGATGATGTTGTTGAACTAAGCATGTGACAGTCCATTAGTATCGTGAGTGCCAGAGTCTTGGGAGTACATAGCGCTTGGATCAATTCCGTACCATGCGAGAGCGGATTTGCGGCGTCCGCAGAGTGAAATCACGCGCAGTTCGGTTGCGGCCAGCAAGGACGTGGCCAGAAAGTGGTTTGACAGTCTCTTTGTCCGACTCGACGTCAGTCAAGAGGCCCTCGGCTGGCCAGCTGGTGATGTTGGATGTGGGTGAGGCGAGAGTAGTGAGGTTGACGACGAGACCGAAAGCAAAGCGTCGGACATACCCGTCTTTGTTTGCTTTGAATTGGTCCATTGTCGGGGCGTAGAATGTGAGGTGGCTTACCCTCCATACCGGCAATAAAGCCGTTGATAGAGACTGTGTCGTCCACGATCTTCTTGGCCAGGGCGAACGACATCTCGTTCGGGAATGTGCGGGCGAGCAACATGTACAACCCCGCCGATCAACCTTGGCATGCGGGTCCATGGTACTCGCACGCCTGAATGCACGCCCGACAAAGTCTTGCACCGTTTCCTCCTTCTTCGGGGCGATGTACAAAAAACGGAACGCCAGCGGGGCGACGGACGACGGGGTCGCCAGGATGGTGAAGAGTTGGATCAACTCGGCCACCTCAGTCGAGGCGGGCAGGCCGATGATGCTGTCCACGAAGGCCGTTGGGAGCACGGTGCCTTGACGCAACGTGAAGACTTGCCAACGGCTCACTGCAATCGTGTGCGAGCTGGTCGAGGGCAAAGAAGTACGCCGCCAGGCAGTCATGATCCGATCCATAGTTTGGCAAGTCGTGCGCCGCGCTGCCGGGACCAGTGTAGTACACCGGGCGCTTGGCCATGATATCCCGGGCTTGGGCGTTGTCGGGGAGAACAGGGCGATGGGCGGGTGCGGCGTGGGCACTGGCAAGGGCAGCAATCTGCTGGTGCTCGGTCTTGACTTGCTTCGCGTACATAGGCCTTGGCGGCTTCGCGGGCCTCGGGCGTGAGCTGTGCATTGTTGGCCTCGGCCTGGATGAGGGCGTCCTCGAACACGTCACAATCGTGGGAGTTTGGGCCGCGGGTGAACCAGGCCAGGTTGACGGCGAGCTAGGCGTGCTTGTCGGCGATGGACGTGGCTTCATTGGCCCGCCAAGTGTCGAGTGTCGCTTGGTCATGGAAGATGAGGTTGTCAACGTCCTTTTTTGTTGACACAGACGCACACATGCAAATCGGTGAGGACAGAAGAAGACCAGAGGTGAATGCATGTACAATCACATGAGCTCGTGTGATGACGTCGCCTCCACGCCCTTTGGGTGCGGACACAACAGGTGTGGGGGTCGACTTCGTGGCGTGCCAAATAGTATTTACGCTTCGAGTCAGTCACGCATGCTGCCCGTCCGAAGGAACGATCAACCGTGTCCGTGGAGCTGTAGGAGGGCGTCGTATGAAGGCGAACGGCAAGGGAGTGGTGCCGCCGCGCTTCGTGCCGACGGAGTCAAGGCAATAGCGGGCACATCACACTCGATGTTTGCGGCTGGGCGATTGTCTTTGTCGGCAAATGCAGAGTCTGGGCGAACGGAACATGTGTGGGAGGGATTCAGGACAGAAGCCATGTCGCTGCGCAATTTGGCTTGTTGGCCCATCTTCAAAGCCCCAAGGTCATCGTCGATGTCTGCTCCCGTCAACTGGCCACCATTTCCGAAGGCTACGGCAACGTGAAATAGAATGCCGAAAATGCCAGAGCAAGTTGTCTGCGTGTGCATATGTGTGGATTGTCCTTCACGGTTCATCTGAAATTGTTACTTATCGATGAGTTCGAGTTGGACGATCGGATGCAAACACAAATGTTCACGATGTGGACGATGCGTCGACCATCAATTGCAATCAAATGCGCGATGACTTGCACTTGCACTTGAACTTGATCTGCACATGCAACCCTGAGCAAACAACTCCTCCTACAGCTACCCGCCCTCTCGTCCCCTGCTTCTATCCGGCGCCCCAATCGAACCATGTCTGCCAGCCCACCCACCGTGACACCGCCCGATGCAGGCGACCCTCAACACCGGTACCTGG